TTTTTTTTTTTTTTTTTTTTTTTTTCATTTTATGCATTTATTTTACGCCTTCGTCAGATCATCGTTAACAATGAGGCGCAAAATATGAGTAAGCAATTTTTTTATTTGTGAAGACGTTTGACTACAATTAAGTATTGCAATTTCACCGCGCATGTGTAAATGTGTACGAAGGGATGTGCATAGATATGCATTAACATGTGTGTTATGCATCAGTATGCATAGAGGCGCATATATCGGCGTAAACTCGAATCGCCAACAAATTGCCGCAATGCACTTGTTACACATACACAAAATAACACATGAATGATTAAGACATTTCCATTTTATTTTATGCAACCCCCCCTCGTTGCCATTGTATATGATGGAAGAAGTATTTTTTTTTTTCCGTCTATTTTTTATAAAATGCAGAAGTAGGATTTTTGGGGAAATTTCATGCAACTTTAAAAATCGCGCATAGTACACCGCGCCCGTCGTGTGCAGCGACTGAGTCGGCGAGGTGTATATCTGCCTCAACGCTTACATGCATAGGTGGGTACACCATGTTGATGAGTATACATGCGCAACAAAATACGCATGAGCTAGCAAATACATATGTATGGGAACATATACGCACTTATGCATTTGCCTATATGTGCGTGTGCCCCTTTGTGAATGTCGCGAGGAAAAACAGGAGAAAAAACGGCGCCAGGGAAAGGCCCACGCGACACATATAGTGACGCTGCTGCTAAGTATTTTCCACATTGCTTCACCCACATTGATAGCGCCATATGTGCCTTCATGCATATATATATATACGTGTTTTTTTTTTTTTTTTTCCCTTGGCGGTATATGTACACTACAGTTAGCGAACGCGGCATTTCTACAGAGTTTGTAAAATAGTAGAAGCATTTTTTTTTGGCAGCGTTATAAATGCAAATCTACCAAGGGGGGCTTTGTGTTTCCTGCATAGGATTCAAAACAGACAAAGAAGGGGAATTTGAAGTGTTGCCTTTTCACACATAAGTGAATGCACACATATATGTGTGTATATATTTGCACATGTGTGTAGCATGCATGTATTTTGGAAGACCCGTCGAAAGATACAGTAAGCGCGCTTGGGTGTCCGTTCTTGATGCACATTTTCCATTGCGTTTTGTGATGGTGAGTATACGTGTATAGTTGCATATGCCTAACAGTTTCATCCTTCTCTGTCTCTCCCTCTTATGCCATCTTTTAATTACCTCATGAATTCACTACGTAGCCATTCAACTGTTTACCTACTTCGTTATTTCTTTACCCTCCTTTTTGTTATTTTTTGTGTTAGCAAGTGTTCGTGAGATTCTGCTCATCTTTCCACACTTCATTTCCACATGCCCTTGTTCAATATTTGCATGTGTACTTCAGTGTGTTTAGTATTTAGTCTCCGTTGCTGTGATATTTGTGGCAGTTTTTGCTACGAGTCTGTCCTTCCGAGCCACCGGAATGCGTTTTACACGGTTGCCTTTTTAATGCATACGTGTGCTTAAGTACGAACGTATCAGTTTGCTTGCCGAGTTGTGCTTCTTCAACCCCTTTACTCGCCATTTGTAAAAACCACTTCGTATGTTTGTATGCCATTTGCACGTATGTTTATTCCCTCCGGTGTTTGTAAGCATTTTGGCGTAATCATATTTGGTTCCCCTCGACCATTCGAAGGTTCAGAGTGTAGATAGTTGCGTAAATGCACTTCTACACTTACTTTGAGATACAGGAAGACTCGGCAACTGCGTTTTTGAGGCAGGCGCATTAACACGAACACATGCGTAGATACGTATTTTCGTATGTGTGAGCGTACAGCTGTGTCTAGGTATATATGCACTGTGACGCGGATAAAAATCCCCCCTCCCACTAGTAATTCACTCCCCCGGCAAACACAATGGATAAGCTAGTGCCAATAGTAAACAAATTGCAAAACGTGCTGTCTTCTTTCATTAGCAGTGAGACACTTAGCCTGCCGCACATTGCAGTTGTGGGTGCGCAGTCAGTAGGGAAGACGTCGTTGCTGGAATCGCTAGTCGGGTTAAGTTTTATGCCAAAGGGTGAAGATATCGTAACGAGGACCCCTATCATTATACAGTTAACAAATTCAAAGTCAGATGAATGCTACTGCACGTTGACCTATACGGACTATGAAAATAACCGAGTGGAAAAACATGTGGATGATTTTTCTATTTTGAATGATATGCTCATAGATGTGACGGATGAAATTACTGGAGGGAATAAGTGCATTAAGGAAACCCCAATAATTATAGAAATACACAAAAGTGACGTTTTAGATTTAACCCTAATAGATTTACCAGGGTTAACAAAGGTACCGGTAGGAAATCAGCCACAAAATGTAGAGGAACAAATTGTGAATTTGGTAAATAAATATATAAAAAATCCCAATTGTATCATTTTAGCCGTGTCCTGTGCTAATATCGACTTAGCCAATTCGGACAGTTTGAAAATGGCTAGAAGTGTGGACCCTAAACATGAAAGAACCATAGGAGTTATTACAAAATGCGACATGGTGGAAAAGCCAGAGATATGGAAGAAGATGATTAGTGGTTCGTTGTACCCACTAAAAAAAGGATTCGTGGCAGTTGTTTGTAGGAGTCAGAAAGACGTGGAGGATAATACTACCATTGAAGATTCATTGAGGAAGGAGGAAGAATATTTTAATCAGTGTCTAGATCTTTCGAACCAAATGGAATGCATTATGGAATGTGGAATTAAAAATCTAGCGAAAAAGTTAAATAATATCCTTATTGAACATATTAAAAATACCGTCCCTTTTTTAAAACCCAAAATAGATGCTTTGAAAAGCATAGAGGAGGAGAAGTTACTAGAATTAGGAGAACCCATGGACAATATGAACCGGTCTGAGTATTTAGCAGTCCTGGTTAATTACATCACCAAATTTTCTCAGCAATATCAAGACATAATCGATGGAAAAGTGTTTTATAAGGACCGTGTGGATGAGCTCAAGGGAGGAGCAAGGATACATTACATTTTTAATGACTGGTATATAAAATCTTTAAATGATTTTTCCCCATTAGAATTGTTAACAGATGAAGAGATTCGAATAGCAATTCGTAATTCTAGTGGACCAAGAGGTGCCCTTTTTGTCCCAGAAAGCGCATTCGAAACGTTGATAAAAAAATTAATAAATTGTTTGAAGGAACCCTCCCTTCGTTGCGCAGATCAGGTGTATGAAGAACTCATAAAAATTGTGGACAACTGTAGAATACCAGATATGGAGAGGTTTACGAATTTGAAGAGTGCAATAAATGAGCAGGTTAAAATATTGTTAAAAGATTGCCTACAGCCCACAAAAGAAATGATAAAGAATTTGATGTTAATTGAGCTATCCTACATTAACACGAGTCATCCGGATTTTCTGAATGAACAGTTTATGAGGAATGTGTACGATAAGGACAACGATTACGTGGAAGAGTTGGACCACGCGTTGCACATGCAGAGTAACAGTAATAAGCTGCCTCATTCGAAAAGGGATTTCCAGGAGGGATACCCGCCCACGAGTAGCGGCAGCAACAACAATTGCATGAACAGTTCCACCGTTCTGCACCCGCACCAGCATCAACAGCACACACCGCCTCACCACTCGCCACATCACCACATGCCGCATCACCATTCGTCGTATAAGGAAGACGCCAAGCTGT